CTGTCCCCAGCCCCTTGCATTTCTGCCTCACCCCAAGATGGTGAAGCCCTCACATGGGAGAATGCAGACTTGTCCCTGCATGCACTGCCATGCTTTTTAGAGGAGAGCTCAAGGCAGAGCAGGGGCTCAGCAAATGTTGGTTGAATAAATGAATTAATGGATTTACTAAGGTGTTTCTAGGTTCACCCAAAGGAATAGTTTAAGACATTTCTAAGGGCCAGGTATAGTGACTCACGCCTATAATTCGAGCACTTTGGGAGGCCAAGGTAGGAGGATAACTTGAGTCAAGGAGTTCTAGGTTAGAGCGGGCTGTGATTGTGCCACTGCATGCCAGCCTGGGTGACAGAAGGAGACCCTGTCTCTAAAACAAACAAACAAACAAGTTTCTTAGAGCCCAAAGCTACTAGAAACAAGAATTCAGAAATGGGCCAGGTGTGGTGGCTCATGCCTATAATCCCAGCCCTTTGGAGGGCTGGGGTGTGTGGATTTTTTGAGCCCAGCCTCCCAAAGGGCTGGGATTATAGGCATTCAGCTTTAGCCTGAATATTACCACAGGTGTTTCAGTGATGTCTGAAAGTCAAAGTGAAACTGTACTGCTTGTGGATACCGAGTTCCTGAATTATTAAAGAAACTCCTCATCTTCGTTGCTGTTTTTAAAAAATATTTTGTTTCTGACAGATCAAATATTCAATAGGCTTTATTAGGTATGCCTGCGTGTGTGTTCATGTCATTAAACTAATATTTACTGCTCACTCTTCTAAGCACTACATGTGTGTTGACTTATTTAATTCTCTCAAGAGTCTGTGAGGAAGTCATCATCATTCTTTATGTTAAGATAAGGCTCAGCCTGGCCAACATGGTGAAATCCTGTCTCTACTGAAAATACAAAAAATTAAGCTGAACACAGTGGCTCACAGCTGTAATCCCAGCACTTTGGGAGGCCAGGGCAGGGGGATCACCTGAGGTCAGGAGTTCAAGACCAGCCTGGCCAATGTGGTAAAACCCTGTCTCTACTAAAAATACAAAACATTAGCTGGGCATGGTGGCGTGTGCCTGTAATCCCAGCAACTCAGGAGGCTGAGGCAGGAGAATTGCCTGAACCCAGGAGGCGGAGGTTGCGGTGAGCCGAGATCGCGCCATTGCACTCCAGCCTGGGTAACAAGAGGGAAACTCCATCTCAAAAAAAAAAACAAAAAAAAAACAAAAAAAAAACAATTTAGCCAGGTGTGGTGGCAGGCACCTGTAATCCCAGCTACTCAGCAGGCTGAGGCAGAAGAATCGCTTGAACCCTGGAGGCAGAGGTTGCAGTGAGCCAAGATCATGCCTTTGCACTCCAGCATGGATGACAAGAGCGAAACTTCGTCTCAAAAAAGAAATAAAAATTAGCCAGGCATGGTGGTGCACACCTGTAGTCCCAGCTACTCAGAAGGCTGAGGTAGGAGAATCACTTGAACCCCGGAGGTGGAGGTTGCAGTGAGCTGAGATTGCACCACTGCACTCCAGCCTGGGCAACAGCAAGACACCATCTCAAAAGAAAAAATAAAGGGAAAGGGAAGGACAGGGAGGTGATCGCACAATCCTGGTTCCACACTCAACACTGAGTGTCATGGCCCCTGCTGTATAGAGGGCCCAGCTGGAACTCCTAACTGGCCTGTCTACACGTGTTCTTCCAGGAAAATGGTGCAAATGTCAGTTGACATTCAGACTCTGAGAGGGTATCCTCCACAAACACAACCTGGAGGCACAGTGTGCTCGCTTCAGCTTTTGAACTCTACTTACAGTAATATTAGAGTGGTCAAAACTGGGGTGGCTTCTGCAACAAAACCTCTAAAACCAAAGTAACAGGGCTGGTCACAACTCCTGGTGTCTTCAGGCACTAATGCACCTTGGTGATGCTGAGGGCTGGGACCCAGGCTGCGCCCATTCTCCTGCTGCAGCCTCACTTTGTCCCGCCCCTGACTTGCAATGAAATACTCGCCTCCAGCTGGAATGTAAACATTTTGGAGTCTTTCGATATTTGTTCCAATTTAGCCAGTCATCATTGACATTTTCCTGGAAATTTGCACAATATTCTTTCATTTATTTTAACACTGGGATGAATTCCAAATGAAGAAGGCTCACTATTCTTCAGTGTGTTTTTAAAACATTTTTGAACCTCTCCCTCCATTTTTAGATGAGTAAATGTGGAGAAAGAGATGAAAGAACATAGAATTTTAAAAAATGATGTGGATGTATTAACTATGCCTAAGTTACCACATCGAGCCTCCTGAAGAGTCTGTGCTGGTCACACCCGTCTGTGTCATATTCAGGGTGGCCAAAAGTGGATGCTGGTGTGCTTCTGACTTGGGGGTTTTCTCGGGGATGCATGTAAGAACAGGAAACAAAGGATGTTACATAGCGATGAGGAACCTGAACAGCTTCTAAAACAAAGATTGACTGTAACAGGCTTGGTGAGCGTTCTGACAGATCCAGACATCAGGCAGCAGGATCCCCCGTGAGTTGAGAAATACAGTCCTAACCATTTATTCAGTCCAGGAGAGTTACACAGCAGCACACTAGAAGATTTAAGGATGCAAAGTCCATGATGAAAGAACTGTCATCTTGAGGGGTTTGGCACCCAACATTGGATTAAACTGAAGCCCAGGAATGTCTGCAAATATTCCCCCCCAACCCCCTCCCCAGTGCTGAGTAATCTTTACTATCTGCCTGACAATGGGATGTAGGAACTGTGTCTCACCCAGAGGGTGCAGGTGGAGTTTTCTTAGATGCTGCAGGGCAGGGTCAGTGTGGGATTTAATATTATTTTGAGTATAAGATAGAAGAATCAAGTTGCAGGGGTGGTTTAGGAATAGTGAAGTTACCTCCAATAAAGTCCCCTTCCCAAGACTGCAGATATCATCATGTACTTAACAAAACCTCATTAATCAGAGATGTGTACTGTACAAATGAAACCTTTTGTACAACCCTTTTCTTGGGTAGACAACAAGAAGTGTGAAAAAATTGAACTCAGGCTGGGCGCAGTGGCCCACGCCTGTAATGCCAGCACTTTGGGAAGCTGAGGTGGGTGGGATTGAGACCATCCTGGCCAACATGGTGAAACCCCATCTCTACTAAAACTACAAAAATTAGCTGGGCATGGTGGCATGCGCCTGTAATCCCAGCTATTTGGAAGGCTGAGGCAGGAAAATCGCTTGAGCCCGAGACACATAGGTTGCAGTAAGCCGAGATTGTACCACTGCACTCCAGCCTGGCGACAGAGTGAGACTCTGTCTGAAAAAAAAAAAGTTGAACTCAATAGAAACCAAGGAAAGGCAAATAAACATGTTAAGTAATTTTCCATTTGCCAATCTGCCAGAGGGTAGAAAGGAACAATAATCATTATTTGTGAGGGTCTCAGAAAACGACAGCTCACATCGCTGTGGTCAAAGTAAAATGAATGTGATCTGTCATTCATTGCTTTCTCAGAAAGTATAATATAGAAATATATATAGGAGTGTTTAAAACTGTAACTTGTTATTTTTACTGCCCAGGAACTTCAAATAAAAGCAACTTAAACACCTTCCAAGTAAGAAAATGGTACAATGAGCTGGGTACAGTGGCTCACACCAGTAATCTCAGCATTTTGGGAGGCTGAGGCAGGCAGATCACTTGAGGTCAGGAGTTCAAGACTAGCCTGTCCAACAGGGTGAAACCCATCTCTACTAAAAACACAAAAATTAGCCAGGAAGGGTTGGGGGGGTGCCTGTAATTCCAGCTACTTGGAGGCTGAGGCAAGAGAATTGCTTGAATATGGGAGGTGGAGGTTGCAGTAAATCGAGATCATGCCATTGCACTTGAGCCTGGGTGAAAAGAACAAAACTAAGTCTCAAAAAAAAAAAAAAAAAAAGAGAGAGAAAATGTACAATGCATATAGAAGAATATTTAAAGACTAGAAGGATACTCAGAATACAGTCATGGTAGGTAGAATACCCCTCAAAGGTGTCCACATCTCTCCCTGGAGCATGTGAATATGTCCTGTTATATGGAAAAGGGGAATTAAGGTTGCTATTGGTTTACTATAAGAATGAGAAATTATTCTTTTTCTGGGTGGGCCCAATGGAAACACTCGGGACTTTACAATGGAAGAGGGAAACAGGAAAGTCTGAGTCAGAGTGATGCAATGTGAGAAAAACTTGACTGTCACTGTCTTTGAAGATGGAAGTGGCCATAAGCCAAGGAATGTAGACACCGTCAAGAAGCTAGAAAAGGTAGGAAAATGGATTTTCACCAAGAGTTTCCAAAAAGAAACAGCTCAGCCGACACTTCATGTTAGACTAGTGAGATCCATTTTAGACTTCTGATTTCCAGGATTGTGAAGATAATAAATTTGTCTTGTCACCAAGCTTCTGATAATTTGTTCCCATCAATGTAAACAAACATTTTGTTAACTGAAAAACATCGAGTTTTGCAAGTTGTACACAACTATGGTTTGAATGTGTTCCCCAAAGTTTGTGTGAAACTTAATCCCTCTGCTCTCATGAATGGATTAAAAGATTTATGAGGGTGCTTTTCTCATGGATGGATGAATATCACTGTCACTGGAGTGGGTTTGTTATCATGGGAGTGGCTTTGTTATAAACTGAGCTGTATCTGGCTCTACTGCTCTTTCCCTGTCACCACGTGATGCCCTTCACCATGTTATGACATGCCAACATGTTCTTCACTAGATGCCGGTAGCATGTTCTTGGACTTCCCAGCCTCCAGAACCATGAGCTAAAGAAAGTTCTTTTCTGTATAAATTATCCAGTCAGTGGTACTGGTTATAGCACCAGGAAATGGACTAACACAAGCACTGAAGGTTGAGTTGAAAAATAATACACACACACACACAAGAACAGACTGAGATGTTATACAATTTGCCTAAATTAATTGTGGTTCCATCTAGCTGGCAATGTTACAGTTGATTTATATTATTTTTATATATTTTATTATTTACATTTTATACAGTACAGATGTATTATTTTGAAATAAGAAAAAATGTTATTTTAAAATGCAGTGATCATGGTTGTTTCAGGCTGTATTGCAAATTTGCGTCACAGATATTTTACAGAGAAACTTTAATTTGTCATTCTTTTTAACTTGCAGTGTTACTTGTGAAATCTTTCTCCTGTAGGATAATCTTTTTCCAAAATTATAGACAGCTGGTCACTGATGGCCATGCAGAAACCTGAACAAACATCTTTCATTAAAGGATACTCTTAGGTAAGCACTTACAATTTTTTAGTATATTACAGGGAGATGCTTTTTACTGTTCCAACTGTAAAACATTGCTAAGACGAATTGCATAGCCATATGACAGTGGTGATTATAACTATTTTGTAGGAGCATTAAAATAATGATTATGCTTTGTTTCATGAGAAAGCAGAGTGGAAAATTCCACATACCTCTAATTACATAACTTAATAAACATGAGAAGATTCTCTTTATTTTGGTTACACCTCTCAATATAATTTTTTCATGCAATGCAAGTTATGGCATAGGGATTATGGTTGTCAACTGAAGAATGACAAGGTTCATAAATTTGGAAAGGGTTACAGCTTGCAGGGTGGCCATCTGACAGGCTAAGAAGCCAGAAACAGACATTTTGAGGGAGGGGCAATGGGAGCAGGAATGTGTGCCAACAAGGTGGCTGAATATACATGTTTAATAAGCTACAGGAGGGGTTATGAATCTTTATGAAAGAGGAAACATGCAAATGAGCAATAAAGCTTCACACTTCTCCAAGGGACCCATGTTCAGAAAATGGCCATATTACCATGATTGGAGGACAGAGTTTCCGACCTTCTGACTTCAAAAGGTGATGCGGAGGACACAAAATTCCCAACTGCACATTCCTTGCAGAGTCCATGGTCCGTGGTCTCTTATCAGGCAAAAAGGAAGGGCTGTGTCAGGTTGGTCAATAGCGGTGGAGTCATTTGAAAGACTGGTTTCTGTTTCGCTTTTAGGGAAGAAAGCCTAATGGTGGCCAGCAGGGCAGGGGCACATTGAGGTGTGTCTGACCTCATCCCTTCATGGCCAAGAACTCAGTTTTCAAGGTTACGCTGGGGACCTGTGGGACAGGAAGGGGGTCCATTCAGTCAGTTGGGGGGCTTAGTATTTCATTTTTATTTCTCATGGGTTTTTCTATAAGGCCAATAAAAAACAACAAACATGCATGGAAGAAGTACTGTGGCCACCTTAAAATATCTAATACTAGTATTACCTAGCTATTATGGACAGAACGGTTTCTCCCCCAGATTGATATGTTTGAAGCCTTAACCCCCCTACTGTGACCATAAGTGAAGACAGGGCTTATAAGGAGGTAGTTACGGTCAAATGAGGTCACAAGGGTGGGGCTCTGGATAGATATAGTGATCTTATGGAAGGACATCAGAGAGCCTCTCTTTCCCCCACAGGCACACAAGGAAGAGGCCATTTGAGCCCACAGCAAGAAGGCTGCCATCTGCTGGCCAAGAGAAGTGGTCTCAGAATGAAACCACCTTGCTGCCACCTTGATCTTGGACTTCCAGTTTACAGAACTGTGAGAAATACATGTTTGTTGTTTAAGCCAGCCTGTCTATGATATTTTGTTATGGCAGCCTGAGCTATGATATATGGAATGCCTGTTTATTATGTTTAATGTCTGTGTCAATCTTATCAGGTAGCTACTGTCATTATCCCATTGTGGCAAACAGAGGCTTATGGAACTAAGTGGTCTAATGTCACACAGCTGATCATTGGAAGAACAAGAAATCAAACTGAAGTCTTCTGATGCTAAATTCTTTTTTTTGGGGGGGGCGGGGGAGACAGTCTTGCTCTCTGTTGCCTAGGCTGGAGTACAGTGACGCGATTTCGGCTCACTGCAACCTCTGCCTCCTGGGTTCAAGCGATTCTCCTGTCTCAGCCTCCTGAGTAGCCAGGATTACAGACACATGCCACCACACTTGGCTAATTTTTATATTTTTAGTAGAGACGGGGTTTCACCATTTTGGCCAGGCTAATCTTGAACTCCTGACCTCTGGTGATCCGCCCTCCTCAGCCTCCCAAATTGCTGAGATAACAGGCGTAAGCTACCTTGCCCGGCCTCTGATTCTAAATTCTATACAATCATGATTACTCAGATTATTTTTTTTTAAATAATGTGTTACTTTCATCGTTGAACCTCATAAACAGTTGTATAACTTTCTGGTTTTCCCATCACCTAAAATAATATCATATATTACTAAAACTACCGTAGCTTTACTTTAGCTGTTTCTTTTTCAAAACATCAGCAATTATATTTCAGTGAGTTGTCTTAATTTTATATGGCTGGGTATAGAAAGAAGAGTAACTCCATTTTAGAGATGGCAGTAACCAGGAATAATCATGGTGCCCATCATTTTTGGCTGGAGAATTTTAAAAGTATATTGAAAAAAAATTAGTGCTTTAGCGGAGATTGTGCTAATGATTCTGCTATTGGCAGGTCACCCCAAGAGAAATAGTCTCAGCCCATCAACTTGCTGATGCTACAATTTCTCTGGGAGAGGTGAGGATGTTCTCGAAGGCAAGAGTACTCATTATTGTAAAGATAAAACATGATTTAAAAGACTTGTGAGAAAAGTCGTTTTCTAGAAGCACAACAAACATCATGAGGAAGCCATGCTGCTTATCTACAATCTTTGCTTTGATATTTCTGTGTTGGATTAGTCTTTGATATTTGGAAATCAGATCATCATTGTTGGAGCAGTGGTGTTCTTAATGAGAAAAAAAAAAAAAACCATCTAAAGCGAACGGTGTTTAGATGTTAAATGGTGGAGAGGAAAGACTGTAAATGTTAAGAGGTGAGTTAGGAAAACATGAAGGAACTCTAGCTTGGAGCCAATTAGAATAGGACTGAGAGAAGTAGTGGATGATACGATAGATGTTTAGTAACAGCTTGCAGACAAGGTTCACTAAGGACCTGTCAAAAGTAACTCTTCCAAATACCACGATAGAGTCAAGGCAGAGGACATCTTTACATTGTTTAATTATGATATATTTCTTGATTATAGAAAATTACAGAGAAACTTCACAAGGAGCCTCTTTCAAAAAATGCTAATCTAAGTCATTAATATAATTTGAATATTTACAATAGAAAATTATTCAATTAGGCTACTATAGTTCTTTTTCAGTAGAAATCAGTGATAGTATGATCAATAAGATTTTTGTCCAGGATGGAATGTCCTGCTGAATCTATTATGCATTACTGTCTTTCCTGAGAATATGCAAGAAGTAAACAAATAGCATCTCTTTATGTCAGAAATTTAGATGTCAACAAAACCTCATCGCTTCCTGGGGAACTCTGCAATTGTTGCTTCGTCAATGGGCAAGAGCCCAGCAAGTCCTGCCTCTTTGCTTCTGTCCACACTTAACAGGCTGGCACCCTGAAGAGTTATTTAATTTAGAAAAGTGCTCCCAGTACTGCTTTCTACTCTTCATCTTAAATAAGCAAGTTTTCCTCCTAAGAAAATAAATCAGGAAAAGCTCCCTGGTGAAAAGAAAGCTTATCAACCACGGAGTCCTGGGGAGAAGCTGTTTCCTGCCTAAAGGTAGGAATTACCTGTCTGAGCTTTCTGCTGTTACGGCAAAGGCCCTTGGGCACACTCAGGCTTTCAAGAAGCTGTGTATCCTCTGCCCTGTCATGGGAACCTCATTTGGCAGTTTTGCTGAGTCAAAGCATTGGACGCTGCAGTCAGCTACTTCAAGCCGCTGGCTTTCCCCTCTGGATTGTTTATTTCATCTTTACCCTCAAAATTTCATCCACGATTCAGTCTGTGCTCAAATATACCTTTGTCCTTGAGATCTGGGAAGGCTTCCTGCGTCCACTTCTCTCTTCTCACATTTGCTCTGTGTTTTCTGTTTATAACGCTCGTTTTCGTCGAACAAAGCTTGGGCTTTAGAGGTCGACCTGGGTTCAGATCCTGGCTCTGAGTCTCACTGCGTGAAGACGCTGAACAGATTTCTTGATTTTTATGACCCTCTATTTCCTCATCTATAAAATAGACCTAAGACTGCCAAATGTCACCATATTTGTTTAAAAAATCGTTTGACATGTTGTCCGTCAAACACTGGACCAGATACTGTGTTCTTCCTTCTTCCTGTTACAGGTAGTTACACATGAGCAAGGCAGGAGAGGGCTTTCCATCGCCCCTGCCCACTAGGAATGTCGAGGGATGGTTCAGCAATGATCACATCTCTTTTAAAATGATAATTCGGCAGCCATTTCCTGATGGTCCACACCTGTTAACATCAAAATGTGAACTGAATGCAGACCCCAGGAAGAAGCAACTGGGCGCGCCTGTTAAGAGACAAAAATGGTGGAGTACGATGTTCCGGTGGGGTACACACCACCGGAAAAGGGGAAAAGGGAAGAAAGCCTCAGGCGGGCATGCGCATAACTCCCTAAACACGCTGGGTGTGCTCAAGTCCCAAGGGCGAGGAAAGCACTGCGCATGCGGGAAGCCCACCCTCAGGGGAGAATCCTGGGAAAGAGGCCAGCGTGTAAAGTCCCAGGATCAACGTTAAAGCACACTGTTTGTTTTGTGTTTTATTTTTGTTTGTTGTTTTATTTTGAGATGGAGTCTTGCTCTGTCATGCAGACTGGAGTGCAGTGGCGCCGTCTTGGTTGACTGCAACCTCTACCTCCCGGGTTCAAGCAATTTTTGTGCCTCAGCCTCCCGGGTAGCTGGGATTACAGGTGTGCGCCACCCTGTAATTTTCATATTTTTAGTAGAGACGGGGTTTCACCATGTTGGCCAGGATGGTCTTGAACTCCTGACCTCAGGTGATCCGCCTGCCTTGGCCTCAGAACTCCCAAAGTGAGGGTGAGAAGCAGAGAAGTAACAGTCTACATGGCACAGCTTTTTTTTTTTTTTTTTTTTTTTTTTTAAGATTCATAGAGAGATATGGATTAATTGACAGTTAATTAATCTGTACCTCTGTTTCTGGGATTACGGGCATGAACCATCATTCCCAGCCTTTTGTTCTCTTCTCTCTTGGACTTTCAGGAGCTTAGTTGGGTCTCTTCCAAGTGAATTTCCTTTCTTTCCTGTTCTAAAGGCCTTTTATGTTTAAAATTTATTTATTTTCTCATTAAATTTTTTTTTCCATTTTCAACATTGTTGCATTTTTATTGGTGACAGTTAATTTGGAATATTATATAATTACATACTCTTGAATTACATAATAAACCACTCTAATAATATAGTGTCATTATTATAGTGCAGAAAGTCAGAACTTTCTGGAAAACCTGAAATTCATTTCTCATAGATTTCTTTCCAGCACAGTTATTATTCTTACCCTTCCTGCTTTTCCTTTTTAAAAAATTATTTCCATAGGTTTTTGGGGAACAGGTGGGGTTTGGTTACATGAGTAACTTTTATAGTGGTGATCTGTGAGATTCTGGCGCACCCATCTCTTAAGCAGTGTACACTACACCCGGTTTGTAATCTTTTATCCCTCTCTCCCTTTCCCCTCTTCCCCCGAGCCTGGTCCCCAAAGCCCACTGAATCATTGGTAAAGGCTTTTTAAATAAACTTCCACTGCTGCTCTGAAAATTGCCTCAATCTTTTTTCTGCCTTATGCCCCTCAGCCAATTTCTTTCTCCTGAGGTGGCAAGGGCTGAAGTTGCTGATGATGACCTATACGGATTCGCTGCTGGTAATTCGGTTCTCTGCCACTGTTAACATTACTGTTTCATTTCTGTTCAGTTACTGATTATTTAATAACATTTTAATTTACAGGGGTGTTGGGACCACGCCTTACATAACTCTCTATTCCCCAGAACTAAAGATAGTGCCTTGGGTATATCAGACAGTCTGTGAGGAGTTGCTGAATTAAAATAAGTTGGTCAAAAGAGAAACAGAGAAAAAAATAAAAGGCATATAACCAACATTCTGTGTCCTCAATTTCTCTCCTCAGTTTAGAGGAGATCAGCAGATGTCCCCGTCCTAAATACCAAAGGATATTTTAGATCAGGACTGTGGCAGACTGGGTCCTAACAGTTCTTACGTTCTCTGTTACTGGACAAGATCTCAGAGCCATTGTGACCCCACTCAAAAGTCTTAAAACACTGTGTTTTTTTTTCCCCCCTTTTGCTATACAGGACATTAGCGGGACAATTGGCAAAAGAGCTACAGGATAGGTCAAGGAGCATATCAGTGCTAACTTCTGATTTTGATGATTGTACTGAGGTTAGTAAGACAGAAATATTTAGAAATAGGAAAGCATTATGTCTGCAACTCACTCCTCAGCTGTTTAGAAAAAGACCCATTAAGACGCAGAGAGAATGATGGAGCAAACGTGATAAAATGTCAGTATTTAGGAATCCACTTGAAGATTGTATGGGTATTCACCGTACTTTTTTTTGCAACTTTTCTGTAAGTCTGAAACTATCTCAAAATAAATAAATATATATATTTTTTAAACTGAGATCACGTTTGCATCTTCTCTGACTTGTGGCCAGATGGGGGAGTTATCAGACCAATGTATAGTCCTCTTTCTCTTCTCCCTAAATTAAGATGT